ACTGAAAAAGACTAACGACAGAAAACGCTATCGAGAAAAAAGCCGATTAAGCTCAACCCGTTTCAACTTAACACTGAAGCATCGCGCATCCTTTGATGAAATGATATCTCTGGGCAACAGCTGAAACCATCGAGCGCATCTAAAGAAGATATTATTGTACATCCTAGATGAATTATAATTGATGGCTCTATAATGAAAATTAAAACCTCCTAATTTCTCACTAGTTGGTACGAATATCCAGTACTTGCTTGCCATCAATCTGTTTTCTTTCTTAAGCACTCGAAAGCAAAAAACTAGATCAGCAATATTACGACGACAAATAAGGCTTTGTAAAATAAACTTTTTCAATCGAGCTTCATAATTCGGAGGTCTATTGTTAGGAGAGAGGCGAATACACAAGAGACGAGTAGAAGTTTTTCGCACCTGTTCAAGCTTTGCAATTTCTTTTTTACGTGTAGGATTCCAGACCTGGGAACCATATTCAAGATGAGGTCGAACAAGTGCTTTGTGCAAACGCGTCAAAATAAAGGGTGATTTGCTTTTGACACTACGGAGCAGTACAAACAGGGACGAATAAGCTCTCCTAACAGCAGCATCAACATGTCCCGAAAACCTCAGCTTTGAATCAACAATAACTCCCAAATCCCTAGCAGAGTAACAAGACCTCAATGGAACCCCATTCATTGAGTAGGTTCCGGCTATGCAGTCACCCATATGCAGTACCCAACTTTTGCTCAGATTCAAAGTCAAAGCTCCATTTCGAAGCCCATTCAACTAAGGTCTCTAGTGACCGCTGTAGGGCAGATTGCACTTCAAAACAGTTAGTAGTAGAGTAGACTCCATATATTTTTATGTCGTCAGCATCCGTACCTGTATATCCTGAGTGGTTTTGAATAACGCTGGAAGATCTAATGTGTATATATATGAGAAACAATGTGGGTGATAACACTTCTCCCTGGGGCACTCCGCTATCACATTGGTATGCATCCGAAAACTTGTAATGAACCTTGAATGTCATATAACGGTCTTGCAAGTAGGAACAAAACCATGAAAGAAGAAGTGATCCACTCACCCCAATAGCTTCTAGTTTACTGATTAGTTTCGCATAGGAGACTTTATCGAATGCTTTTGAAAGATCAATATAGAGCACATCCAAAGACTTCTTCGACTAAGAGCAAGATTCCAGTCAAAGATGCAATCAACTAGATTGGTTGTTGTAGGGGCTCCACTGACAAAACCATGCTGCTCTGCAGGGATTAGGTTGGACTTGCTGACCCATGTTAAAAGTTTATCTCTAATAATTCTCTCCATAATCTTGGCAGGTGCCAGTAAAAGACTTAAGACGAAAGTCGCTGATGAGCTTGGCCCCTGGACTTTTGGGATCGCTGTCACAAGTGCCTGCTTCCACAACTCCGGTACCTCTCCCAACAACATAGAAATGTTGAAAATATGCGCAACGGGGCAGCCAGAGAAGTAGCACATTTCTTATATATGATTTGTGGAATCCCATCGTAAGTCTCAGTTGTTGAGGCTTTCAATTTCTTCAGAAAACGATATACAACAGAAGGCTCGAAAAATAGAGTAGAGAATGTTTGGCGGCGACACCGCAAAACATCAAGTCCAGGAACCACAACATGGTTGCCGGAATCAGATGTAAAAACACTAACAAAATATGAGCCAAGGATTTTGGCCTTATTCTCATCACTTGAAAAGGTACCCCATTTTCATCCAACAATGTTGGAAGGTTAGCGCTAGGCTTCATTCTGGCTCCGTAATGAAATAGACTCTTAGATGATGATTTGAGCGCAGGACGACGTTCACGATTAGCCAAAAACTTTCGCAAGTGAAACTTTATATCAGAGCACACTTTCTTGTAAAAACAACTGTTCAAAGGATCATGCACTTTTTCAAACAGGTAATATTTCTGCTGGTTCAACCTTTGTATGTGAGGCGGTGCATTTAGTACAACAGCATGCGGAGGTTTAATAGAGACGAACATACCAAGTGCATGATAAAGAATCTTACAAAACCTTTTATAAACGTCAGAGCATGATTCATAACTATCAAATTCTGAGAGCCAATCTATACCGGCAAGATAATCGTTCAATGCAGTATAATCAACATTATGATAATCCGGCAAGGGTGGCAACGATGCTGAGGGAGCACTAAGCACTTCAAAGTAAACGATCCCATGGTCCGAAGAGCCAAGTGGTGGGACAACATCAACATTAGATATTTCAACAGCAGAGGAAAGAACAAGATCAAGGGCAAAGCTACCATGAGTAGGAGAGGTGACATATTGATAGAGACTAGAAACAGCAAAATAATCCAGGAAAGGGGCAGAAGCGCTATTGCAAGGTCTTCTGACAGTCCAGTCAATTTGGAGGTTAAAATCACCAAGAAGCAATGTTTCATCACAATCAGAGGCATATGCATATGCGCTCAAAACATCAATGAGCTTATCATCCATTTTACAAGAGTTAGGTGGGCGATATACCAAGATGAAACGCAAGCGCATAGGTAAGAGCGGATGGGCAACGTTTACAATGAGCAAATCGGCTAACAAGTTTTCACTAAGCTCGGTGCAGTTGGAGAGTAAGAGCCCCTTCACAAGGCAACAAACACCTCCACCCCTGCGATTACATCTGTCACTTCTGAACACAACATAGGGCAAATTACCAATTATTTCAGAATCAAGAATCTTTGCATTCAACCAAGATTCAGTCACGAATAATATGTCTGGTTTATTTTCGGAAATAAAAAGCTGTAAAAGATCCAACTTGTTTACAAGGCTTCTCGCATTAAGCAAAAAATTTTTCAATGCCCCAGCATTACCATGCGCGTTTACATGTTTCCTGCCTCCCTGCGAGGAAGCTGTGAAACATGGACTCCTCATCCCGGTATACCACCCACTGTTTGGTAGCGCTACCCTTAGTATAATTACTGAAATCACCCTGCATAAACTGATTACGACAAGCACCAAAGCTATTTGTGGCTCCGACCAAAATTTTTGGAAGAATCATGTGCTAACATACACTACAAGCTGTATCCACTATCTAGTAAATAATTACTGTTAAAAATCTAAGCGAGGTAGCAGTTATCAAGCTATTTTATCTGCGTAACACCATCATTACGTTGCACACACAACTCATGTTTCGAAAAAGAAGCAGGCAGCTTTGTGCATTGCGAGTATGGCGAACAGCTTTAATCTTATGTAAAGAATGCTTCTACAATATCTTGAGGTTATAATGACAATGCATAAAGGGTTTTAGGGCAGAAAATGAGGCTCACTCTCCCGATTGAGTCGATGTCGGATTTGCTTCAGCAGCAAAAAGTCGGATTTTTTCTTCAATTCTCACGTCGAAAAGCATCCCTTAGGTAGATAAAACCCCGTACCTTCCGATCCAGCTGAGAAACTGCAGAATTTCTTACTCAACGCAGGTTTGTGGAGCGAAATACATGTGAAAGCACTTTCAAGGCAAAAAAGCAGATAATCAATTTTTTTGGAGGTATGACACAGCTTGGCTAAAGCACCTGTTTGACGTTTTTGGATGTGTACCTACCTAAAAAAAATTCGGGAGCTAAGAAATGCTTCAATCAGTAAAACTCCAGGTGGACCTATATTTTTGTCCAGCCTTCAAGCCTACTTTTTAAAATTTTCAATTTTTCCTTGAATAACCAAACGAAAACGAGACCCATTTTGAAGACTGATAATAGGCTGGTAAACACACGGCTGTACCAAATATCGGAACATTTTATTGACAATAGATTGAGTTATGGCACTTTTTAGAGTGGACCTATAATTGTGTCCAGCACTGTATTATCCGCTACTTGAAGTTGTGGACATCACTACAAAAATTTATGAAAACAGCAAATTTAGACCTTGGCAAAAATCATGAGTTGTGGTGCTTGGTAATTTTCTAAGAGGGCATTTGTTGAATGCAATACAAAGATAATCATTTGAAAGAGAATGAAAACCGCATTGAACAGCAGTAAAATTTTTCATAAACCTTCCTTCCACGGAATTAGTGCTTGTTAAAAAGACGAAATAATTTTTAGGGCGACCTAACATCTTTAATTTTGACAAATATCTGCTTTAGATTGAAATTTAGCATTTTGAGAGAAACAAATTTTTTGAGCAACATGATACGACTGTGGCAAAACTTTCCTTAGTGAAATTCCTTTCGTCCTCTTCGTCACATAGTTTTACAAATTTTATCGATTCTAAAGTAAACTAATATCTTGATACAGTAATTTCAAACAATTAGAATAGTGCAGATAAAAATACTCTTATTTATTTTTCCTTGAATCAAGTTGAAAAAGAAAAAAAGATTTCTTTTGAAAAAAGGAAAAATTAAGCTTGTTCAGAGGGAATGAGGTATTCTAACCCGAAAATGGCTATTAACGATCTGAGTTATCTCTGCTAAATCTAGTTTTATGAGTCATTCAACAATTGCAAATAATAACTCACTTGGCTAAGCAACAAGCATTTGGACTGAGTATGTGTTTGGCAATAGGAGGTCAGAAAGCAGCAGTAAGATGCAATAATCATTCAGGTGGTAACCCCTATATTCACGTAACTTCCATGGCACTATAGAGGATGCCTTAGTCCTAACTCTAAGGGCATGACATAATGTAGTTTTCGTTATTTACTTTGAAGCTAGCGGAAAACAAAACCTTGTGTAATTCACTGACAACTCCAACGATGCTGGTTTCACTTCAGATATGGCCTCTTCTAGTACATTTCTCAAAATAATCGAATTCTCCGATTAGTAAATTGATAAGGCGGTTCAAACTTCTCGCTGAACATACTGTGCGGAAAATGAATTGCCCATGAATTTCAAAATGAAGTTAGGCGACACATGCTGATTCAATTTTTTGAATTCACGGTCAACTTATCCTTACAAGTATTCCATACATAGGAAATAGAACCAAACCACCTAGTAATTTTTATCGGCTTGATTTTTCTTAACTACATCAAGAATTCTCATTCTATTGCAGGGGCACGTACTTCGCGAAAATACGATGAGACTCTTTCTGCTGTTGGTTGTCTTCGCAGTGTGCTCAACTTGGAATGTACTTGATAAGCTACCTTTTCGTAGAAAGAGCACAATTGCGAAGGAACGACGTGCTACCCCTGAGCTACGTACTACTATATCCTATTTCAAGTAGGATCAAGTTGTAAGACACGGACGAAAGTAAAATAGGCTCTTTTTAGGCACCCTTATATATGTCAGGATGGGCGTTGTAAAGAGTACTATGGCCAAGACCGTCGTGGCAGCCGCTTATACCCTAGTTACAGACATTGCATGGCAATTTGCAAAGCCCCATGGTAATTATGTATGTGGCAAATAAAGATTTTGCGAGAAAGCAAAAGGGATAACAAGAGGTAAAATCTTCCACAGTTTATACGCATGCCAATTGGCATGCGAGGGCAAGGCTTAGTGAACATTTCTTTCTCTATTTTCACTACATATGCTTGATGATTTGATTTGCCTAAGTGTCGCCATGGCCATCAAATTATGTTCTTCTCAAAGTTGATGTTCATACCTAATTGCATTGCTTTCAACAAACACTGACGTAAAAAACAGTATCAGTATAAAATTCAGGAACGAAAACATTGCATGTTTGTGTGAAGATAAAGTAATTGTTGCTTGTAGCTTGTCCGCAAATCGCAAACATCATCGTTTTGAGAAAAAAGATGTCCTATGACCGTACAAAGAGTGACTGCTAGTACTGCATGAGCGAAGTCGGTTATTACGGTTACCTTCAACAAAATCTCTCAGTTCTTTTTTACGCAAACCAACTTTCTGCTGGTTGAGCAGAGCTCAGTTTGAAGCACTCCGTAGGAGTTTGCAAAATATCCCTATAACTTCACAAAGGTTGCGATTCACCCTGACGGGTTTTTTGAATAGGCTGCAAAAAATTCGCAGCGAGCGGTCAGTGTTTAGAAGAATTTAAAAAAAAAGATGGGAAGGCAGTATCGAATATCATTTGCTGCTTTCTAAAGAATAACATCCTATATAAGGGCTGTGGAACAATCGGAAATCTTGAGTATCTGACAGATAAATGATTAAAAAAATTTCCAAAGAGTGAATTTATTCAGCATTCTGAATGTTGAAGTTAAAGGCCAATCTCCTAGATATTCAGAAGGATACAAACGAATAATTTTTATTCAAACATTTGCTATTTGACCACTCGAATAATGATTTGGGTCCATATTTTTAGACAAATTTTGGCTAACCAGCTCTCTCAGCCAGCTGTGATGAAATATTTATGAAATCCCAACGGCTAAGGCAGCTGATGGCGCTGCCTGAATGAACTCCCCAAATCCGAGATGCGAATGGAAATGCTGCCCCACAAAGTGTAAAACATAAATCAAATATGAAATCGTGAATAGATAGGCCAGCACAGACGTCCTAACGGCACTAAATTTTTAAGACATAGTATGTCTGAAAATTTCAAAAGACTTCGGGGTCTTTCCTACAATCACTCTGAGCACCCGCATGGCAGTAGGCAAATTTAACGAACTAAGAATCCAAGAGCTCAGCGCTTGTAGTTTCCTTATACAGATAAATCATAATTTCTTAAATGTGGACCTCTTCTTTGTTTGAAAATTTGCCAAGGGTTTGCGTGCAATGGCCTGCCTATGCAAATTTCAGGCTCTTTACTACAAATTCTTGACGGCCATTTTTTCGTAGCTATAGAGGGTGACCTGGTTTTGACTTCGCTAATGTATTACTTTAGCGTTGTCCTCTTAACCTAGTCCCTCAGTTGAAAATCTTACTCTCAATGTGAAAAGACACTTGGGCCGGTAGTAATCTGACCGAAACTCCAAGTTTAAAGCTACGCGTTAACTCAGAGTTAACTCCGAGTTTCGGTTCTGAAAGTCGGATTTTCGTTCTGCTACTTGCGGAGCCGCTATAGGTTAAGGAGCTACCACGCGCTTCATCGCAAAACCCTCCGACGTCGGGAGTCTAACTGCATTTGCTTGGCGCGAAGTGCCTACTACTAGACTACTAGGCCACACAGCATCCCTGCAGCACTGCCTTCCGCCGCCATGAGTACTTGTTACTTACATTCTACGTGTTTAGGCACGCAACGGCTTGGTGCATCTTCGCTTTAAGCAGTGTGATTCACTACAATACCTATACATACTCCTCCCCCCCCCCCATTGTTTTCTACCTCCACTTACAATATCATCTTCTATCCAGCAATTAACGACTTTAGAAGAATCAACTATCCCTAACTACATTCCGAAATGGTAAGTATAACAAGCAAAAGTGACTGCTTTACGACAGCTCTTGAATTTTGAGTATCAAAATTCAGCTGAAGGCTCTCGAACACTACATATGTAAAATGTGACAACCATGTGTGATAAGATACACATCATAAAACCATCTAAATGCCTCTATCATTTTGACTATACTATCGGCCGCGGCTGATGATATATACTTTCACTTCCGGACCCTTAACCTCTTAAACTATCAACACGATCAACATGATCCTAACGTTTTTTGAAACAACGCTAAATATCGAAATAGTATTTGATATAGTGATCCCTTCAGAGTACAACCAAAAAGGGGCACAATGTCCACAACCGTGAAGCGTATCACAAACTGTAGTTGGAACTGAATACACGTATTCGAATATTTATTCGAAATATTCGATAATTCGAATGGTCGAATAAATGAAAAAGTTCTTCATTTGAACAATTCGTTCATTCGACAACTCGGAAAAATATCTAATATTGGAATGTTCGAAAAATTTCAAAAGAGGTTAATCGCATAAAACAGGTTCGACAAGTTTTGTCCTTGTTCGAATATTCGGATATTCGACTTTTGCGATTGAATATTCGAATATTGCATGCGATTATTTAGACATTGCATTCGAATAATTGATGATATCATTTATTAACTTATTCGAATAGTCGAATAATCGATCAACTTCGGTTATTCGAATATTTTAAACTTTGAATTTTGGAATGTGCCCCTATTATTCGAATTTGGATAATATAAAAATCAGAAATTGAACGATAAATGTTTACTCGAAAAAAATTTCAAAATTTAAAAACTCGAAATCCACTCCTTCAAAAAACTTTCAGAAATATTATTCGAGATTTGTTTATTCCATGAAATTTGCGTTCGTTCAAGTATATCACAAACTGGTAAAAGGCATAGTTTCATGGTTTGGTTCCGGTAAAAAGTCTCTCGCGAAAATCTGCTACGTTTATTACATTTACAGTTTTGGAGAAAGAGGTGGTTAGGACTATCTATTAGTTTCTCAATGCTGGTAGCTGTATGGCTGAAAAGATCATGCGGAAATTGAAATTTGACTAGAGAGACCCCTTTGTGGCATCAAGGGTCGTTCTATAAGACCACTTAGGGAGCATGTGCTTTTGTGGAAAGTATGGATGCGATTCGACTAGGACTTTGATTTCACAGTGCAAGCAGCTGGTTAGAGGTTCAAGATGGAATACGACGGTGATGGCTGGTTGCTAAAAACCATTGCATTTCCATACAAAAATGATTAGCACATTCATAATCAGCGTGGCGAATAGCGCCACCACACCAAGTTTCAGTCAATTCGTGATAATTTACCGCCTACAGTAAACCTATTGTAATCTCGATTTGTGGCTCCGTAGCGAAAAATAGCTATACAGTCGCAATCAGCGTGCCAAGTAACCCCAGTGGGCCAAGTTTCAGCCGACTACGTGACTTTCGCCCAACTACCGTGTCCCTACCGTAACCTCGCTTTGTGGGCGAATGGTGAAAAATGGGCGTCGGATTCGTGATCAACACGTCGGATAAACCCGGGGCTAAAATTTTAAAAAATTTTAAATTTTTGTGTTCAGCGGTGCACCATTATACATACATGGTACACCGCTACATACATGCACCATTGTGCTTGATGAAACTCGAAGCAAAATCTACCCCGGAGGACTTTTTTGCTACATCTCTTCATTTGCACACTATTTCTCTTTCTCTGACCAAACTCAGAGTTAACTCTGAGTTTCGCGGGCGAATGAAATGCGCACCAAACTCAGAGTTAACGCGCAGGTCAGCGTTTCGTCGCGTAGCGTCTCGCGCGGAACGAGCCACGCTACGTTTCCATATTTGGCATAAGATACGTATTGCGGGGTACCCTGCCATATCACTTTTCCCCCATTTGGTTTGTTTATGCAGATGTTGATGGTCCCTAAAAAATGCGCGTTAACTCTGAGTTAACTCTGAGTTTGACCTGCGTTTCGACAGGTTTACTACCGACCCTGAGTTGACGTAGGCTGTCTGCAAGCTAATCTGCTACTAACAAGCTCATGCAGTAATTCTTTTCCAGTTTGGCCCAATATTCTATGCCAGTATGAATACAGTCACCTTCAAAATAGAGTCTGGTAACGAATCAAACAATGCTTTTCAACATTTCATTACCATCGGTCGACATTTTGCTGTCTTTAAAGCTGTTCTCATTGTCAGTGAGCCAGACAGCGTCGATAGAACATTACCTCATCACTGCTTTCTGACTGAAGTGGTGGCGTTCCCTCCAACCTAGTAGGTGCGTTTCTCCACGCTGGTGTCGATTTGAGGTCGATTGTGCGTTTTTCCCAGTTCTCTTGCCATTTTTTTCGTCGTAGTTGTTGGCTTCAGTGAGCCTTGCGCCTAACATGAAGACCATTTTTGGCTTTCGCCATCCATTCATGGAAGTTTGTTTGGCTCTCGATTTCTTCCAGTTCTTCTTAAGCCTCTTTTTTGTTGTTTTATTGCTTCCTCGTAGTCTCGTTGGAGCTTGTTTGAAAGGCTTTGTAGAGCCTCTCGACTTTGATCGATAGTAGCTATGCTACACTTTATGAGATTTGCCGCGCTAAGACAAAAATCGTAATTCTCTTCAAAAAAGGAGTTCAACGTTAGCGATTTCTGTGTAAGAAAAGAACTTATCAAACAACCCTTGGAGGGTTTTCGTGCTAAGGGCAAATGGCTTCTTATTGAATGATGCCATTTTTTTCAACACTTGCTTCGTTGTAGCTGGTGAGCCAGGGATTGTTTCCTGGATATTTTAGTACTAGCTTTTGCCCTAGCTTGATGCCAAGGGTATTCCTGGTCTTACTGCTTGGTTTAATAGCCTTGATATGTGCCAGGGATTTTTCTGGTTTTTTATGCTAAGTATGGTAGTCTAGACTTTGTTCTCACTTATGCGGCTCGACTTTCCAGTCGATGCACCAGAAATTTGTTGCGAACAGGTGATTCAGTAAATAGTTTATTGACCCTTATCAAGCATCACCCCGGCTTTAACGCCGCATTTAGCGGTCAGTCAAACACGGGGCCATGCTTTTAAGGCCCCGTGGAAGGTCAATCGTATAAGTGA